GTACAGAGATATAGCAGGGTGGGAGTGTGGGAGATGATGGATGAATGGAGAGCTCTGCCTTTGAATACTGATGGATGTCACAGCTGGTGAGTGGAGACATTGAGGCTCAGAGAGATTTGAGAAAATTCTTTAAGGTCTTAGAGCTAGGCAGTTATGGAGCCAGAATAGGAATCTACGTGTGGCTGGCAACAAAATGGAAGCTGTTTTCTCTCTCAGGCTGTTAAACCCCCTCCCACACAGATGAACAGTGACTCCTGGGTGTTGCAGTGCTGCAAGTGATGGCGGTACCCCTCCCCACGTCTCTTCTTCCCCTTCTCTCCTCCCTCCCTCCCTCCGAAGCAGATGTTTTCCCCCCTCTCTACGTGATGTATTTTCTTTCAATGTGTGCCTGTATCCAGTGCAAGCTCTGTTTCCAGGGAAGTTAGGCAGATGGAAATTGTTGAGTAAAATGGCCAGACCTGGTTCATTCCAGACCTCACATTCTTTTCATTGCGACATGAGTGCTTTGGAAGAAAAGGAGACACAGGGGTCTGTTTTTTGTTTATTTGTGTGTGTGTTTTTTTTGTTACTGGGAAATTCGACCCATTCACAGTCATTATGAGAACTAATCTGCTTGGTCTAATTTCTACCATCTTATTATATATTTTCTGTTTAATCCTTCTTATTCCCTTATTTATTTACTTTGAAGAAATTGATCAAGTCTAAAAAAAAATCCACCAGTAATTAAGTTATGTTGGTAGTTGCATTTATACTGATAGCAAACATAATTAAACTCAAATTTCTCTATCACTTTACCAAAGTTAAATAATGACTCTGTTTATCTTACTCTTTCAAAGTGAGACTTTTAGCATGCTTGTGTGCTTTTGCTTTTCCAACCCCTGTTGCTTTGATTCCTAGATTTTGTTGAAATAATTTGGTATTTTAGTTCTGAGCTATTTTCTTATAATACGCTTCCTGGATTTTAAAAAATCCTTTCTTAGTAATGTATCATAGTTCTTAGCTACATTACTAGCATTTTAAAAGAGATTTAATGAATATCTTGCACATAAGGGGGGACTAGGTTTCCTGCCCGCCATTATTTGTTTCCATTAGCTTGAGGTCTTTGTGTATGTGCGTGTGTTTTTAATCCTTACTTGAGGAGTGAGGATATTTTTTCCATTGATTTTTAGAGAGTGGAAGGGAGGGGGGAGAAGGGGGAGAGAGAGAAACATCTGTGTGAGAGAGACACATCAATTGGTTGCCTTCTGCTTGCACTCTGACTGGGGCCTGGGATTGAACCTGCGACCGAGGGATGTGCCCTTGACCTAGAGTCAAACCCGAGACTCTTCAGTTCTCGGGCTGATGCTCTAATCACTGAGCAACCAGCCAGGGCAGCTTGAGATCTCTATTCTGATTTAATTTTTAGCTGGTGTACTTCCTCAAGTAGTTTTACCAGAAAGGGAATAGAGGTGGTGCCCTATCCACGTAGCTCAATTGGGAGCACTGTCCCAGTATGCCAAGGTTGTGGATTTGATCCCCAGTCAGGGAACCTTACAAGAATCAAGCAATGAATGCAGAAGTAAGTGGAACTACAAATCAATCTCCCCCTCCCCTCCCCTCCCTCTCCCCCTCTCCCTCTCCCTTTCCCCTTCTTTCTCTCTCTAAAATAAATAAATAAATAAATTTTAAAAAATGAAAGAGAATAGCAGTGGTAATCACACATCTATTTTTCTTTTAAACTTCAGAGTAATCTATTGGTCAAGTATAGGAATTTAGCTTGGAACACAGTCCCTTGTCTCATAACTTGTAATGGTTATTCTTCTGTCTTCAGTGTCCAGAGTTGTAGATTTGAGAAGGCTGTCCACTGCTCTGGCCTTTGTTGGAAACTTGTTCTGTTTGGAAGTTTATAAGATTTTCTCTTTACCATTGGAGTTCAGAAATTTCACCAGGATCTGCCCAGGATATCTTTTGTGTTAATCTTGGCGCTACATGAGCCTTTCTAATCTGAAACCTCAAGCCTGTTTTCAACTAAAGGAACTTTTTATCTATTATTTTTATTTCTTTTGAACTTGTGGGTTTTTTCATTAGGAAATACCACATTTTAAAATGTTTTTATTGATTTGAGAGAGAGAAAAGGAGAGGGATAGATAGAAACATCAATGAGAACATCAGATCAGATGCCTTCTGCACGCCCCCTACTGGGGATTGAGCCTTGTGCCTTGACCAGGAATTGAATCCACTATCCTGGTATCACAGTGCTTGTGTTTAAGTAACCATTATTTTACTTAATAATACCCCAAAAATGTTTCCTTCAAGTGGAAAGGTATGTATGTAAAGGACAAAGCATAGTATTATATAGGGCTCGATTCTGTTAGTGGTTACAGCCATTCACTGGGGGTTTTGGAACGAATATCTTGCAAATAAGGGGAGGACTACTGTAGTGTTTAAATTCTCGTTTCCACCCTAGCTGGTTTGGCTCAGTGGATAGAGCATTGGCCTGCGGACTGAAGGGTCCTCAGTTCGATTCTGGTCAAGGACACATGCTTGGGTTGTGGCCTCGATCCCTGGTGGGGGGCGTGCAGGAGTCAGCTGATCAATGGTTCTCTCTCATCATTGATGTTTCTATCTCTCTTTTTCTCTCCCTTCCTCTCTGAAATCCATGAAAATATATTTTAAAAAATTTTCTTGTTTTCTACATTAATGCTTTCTACATTAATGTTTTCTACATTCTGCTTTGGTGCAAAACCACTTGCGATGGGAGTGTCCGTGGTGGTAATCTCAAGCTGCTCCTATATTTGTGCCTTGAACTTCCAGAATCACCCCCTCTAGGAATTCCTTTAGCCCTCTTGCAGGTGGTGAGAATTAAGGAAAGTCATTCTTCCCTAAGAGCTCAGCTGTGAGTGGGATGGCAGGTGGGACTTCTCATTGACAGTGGAGAGGCCTCTTAAATTCCTGGGCTTTGTTAAGGTGGGATTGAGGTAGGTGAGCTCTCTCCTCCTTGTATCCAAGGGGGTGGGAGGGTGGCTGCAGTTTAGCTGAATAGGGCAAGTCTCTTTGGAGGCAATGGCCTGAGCAGGGTTGGCAGGAAGGGGCAGTTCTCTCTTCATGTGCTGAGGCCATCTATCCTGGCTTAACCAGCTGGGACTCCTCAGATCACCTTCCCATGCTGCCAGCCCCCACCTCAGCCTGGTGCTGAAATTGTTGAGCCCTAGCCTGCCGGGAACCAATTCCAGCATGTCATAATTTCAAGAGTTTCATCAAAAGGTTGATGAAACTTGGGGACTCAACAGGGTTGAGTCACACATGGAGTCACCTGTTGGGAATGGCTAAAGGCATTTCCCCAAACCTGAATAGGAATCTGATTGTGGCTGCCAGACAGCTAAAGGGCATCTTAATCTACATGTTATTGCCTCCTACTGGCCAAACACCTGAACAGCCGTAGGCTATTCCCCATTCTGACAATGCTTCTGTACCCTTTGAAATCTTACCCTTTGAAGTGTATTATCTCCACCTTGCCTTAGGACAAATTGTGTTAATGAAAGCAAGGGTCCTAGACAAGGAGGGAGTCTTCAGTTCCTTTAGCTGAAGGTCCTCTGACCCCCAATGCCTTTCACAATGATATCTCATCTCCAGACTCTTTATTAGTCTCTGGATTCCTATGTCATCTACGCACAGCGCCTTTTCCAGATTCCTGAACCCTTCTTGATGCTGGGACATGAACCCCGGCACTAGCCAGTTTCGCTCAGCAGTTAGAGCATTGGCAGGCAGACTGAAGCGTCCCGGGTTCAATTCCGGTCAGGGGCATGTACCTCCATTGCAGGCTGGATCCCTGGCCCTGGTCGAGGCGTGTGTGGGAGGCAATTAATCGATGTGTCTCTCTGTCTATCCCTCTCTCTTCCACTCTCTCTAAAAATCAATGGAAAAGTATCCTCAGGTGAGGATTAACTAAAAAAAAATTTTTTTGTTGAGTTTCCTCCTGCCAGAAGTTGGGGGAGAGAGAGGAGTTACAAGGAGATATTCAGCTCACTCTCTTCACAGGATTCCTTAACAATTGTTTCAGTTTGAAATGATGCCCTGAGCATTATATTCAGTTTTTGTAACAGTGTTGATGCCATATCCCTGTCTGTCTTGTCCTGGGCCTACCTGTGGTCGGCAAACTGTGGCTCATGAGCCACATGTGGCTCTTTGGCCCCTTGAGTGTGGCTCTTCCACAAAATACCGACTTCTGCGCATGGGCCACGAAGTTTCAGTCGCACTGTACATGCACGCCCGCATGTGGTATTTTGTGGAAGAGCCACACTCAAGGGGCCAAAAAGCCGCATCTGGCTTGTGAGCCGCAGTTTGCCGGCCACTGGCCTAGACCAGTGGTCAGCAAACTCATTAGTCAACGGAGCCAAATATCAACAGTACAACGATTGAAATTTCTTTTGAGAGCCAGATTTTTTAAACTTAAACTATATAGGTAGGTACATTGTTATTAACTTAATTAGGGTACTCCTAAGGTGGCCTTTGCTAAAAACGTCCTCAATCTGATTGAGGTACGTTCGCTGAGGTCGACCCCTTCCAACTCTCCCATCCACACTCGTCTTGTATACTTGTTTCAGATAGACGAGTGTGGATGGGAAAGTTGGAAGGGGTCGACCTCAGCGAACGCACCTTAAAACAATGTACCTCCCCCGCGCTGTGTATCCCGCGGCCCACCTGACACCCCCCACTTCTTCTGATGCCACTTCTTCAAAATAGACTCGCCCAGGCCGAAAACTGACTTCTGCGCATGGGCCACGAAGTTTCAATCGCACTGTACATGCGCACCCGCACGTGGTATTTTATGGAAGAGCCACACTCAAGGGGCCAAAGAGCCGCATGTGGCTCGTGAGCCACGGTTTGCCGACCACTGGCCTAGACAAACATGGTGTCAGAGGCATCCTTAGGTCCCAATGCGGCCAGACCTTAATTAAGGTATCAAGAAATGTTGTGTAGGTGAGTGATGCCTGTTTCTTTTTCTTTTTTTTTTTTTGTAGAAAATAAGCCAGGTAAAGGTTCCAAAGGCTGCAAGAAGGTAAGTTGGCCCAACCCTCAGGTAAGGTGTGCCCACTGTTGGGTAAGGCTAGGAACAGGTTACCTGCCCTAGAAGAAGCCCATAAAACCCAGTAGAAATGGTGGGTGACTCTAGACCAGTGGTTCTCAACCTTCCTAATGCCGCGACCCTTTAATACAGTTCCTCATGTTGTTGTGACCCCCAACCATAAAATTATTTTCGTTGCTACTTCATAACTGTAATTTTGCTACTGTCATGAATCGTAATGTAAATATCTGATATGCAGGATGTATTTTCATTGTTACACATTGAACATAATTAAAGCATAATGATTAATCACAAAAACAATATGTATTTATATATGTGTTTTCCTATGGTCTTAGGCGACCCCTGTGAAAGGGTCGTTCGACCCCCAAAGGGGTCGCGACCCACAGGTTGAGAACCGCTGCTCTAGACAGAGTAATACATCGGACTCAGTGGAGCTGGCTTTCCTTCTCTGGGTGGCCACAGCAGAGAATCAGCAGCATTTATTAAGTTTATACCACAAGCCACACGCTCCTTCGTGCTTGATTTACCTTGGTAGGGATTGCTGTGGTCCCATTTTTTAGATGGAGAAACTGAGCTCAGTGAGAAAGTTCCTAGATTCGGGGTAGTGCAGCTGGGACTTGAGTCTGTCTGAGTCCTAGTCCCTGTCACTCATGGGTAGGAGAAAGGCTGAAACATAATGATTGGCTCCAGCTCCTGGATCTCCTGGCCCTGCTAGGAAAGATATGGACAAGTCAGACTTGGGCCAAAGCAGTGGTTGTCAGATTGTAGCAGATGGTTAAAGTTCTCACACTTTATTTTATTTTTTAAAAATATTTTTATTTATATCAGAGGAGAAGGGAGAGGGAAACAGAGAGATAGAAACATGAGTGATGAGAGAATCATTGACTGGTTGCCTCCTGCACACCTCCTACTGAGGATGGAGCCTGCAACCCAGGCATGTGCCCTGACTGGGAATCAAACTGACCTGGTTAGAGGTCGACGCTCAACCACTGAGCCAAACCAGCCAGGCAAAGTTCTCACACTTTGGACATGTTTAACCAGCCTAGATAATTCTGGAGGGCTGGTTAAAACACAGATTACTGGGCCCCGACTCCTGAGTTTCTGATTCATGGGTCTGTCGTGGCTTCTGAGAATTTGTATTTCTAACAAGTTGCCAAGTGATGATGCTGCTGGTCTAAGGACCACACTTTGAGAACTACTTAGCTTTTCCCTTTGCCTTTACTTGGGAAACCTTCCGAGTTGCACCTCCCTTTCCTGGGGTTCTTCAGTCAGTTCCTGCCTGGCTAGTGGAGGGAGGGTCTCTCTTTAGCAAGACGGGCATACCTTTGGGGCAAGCCCTTTTTTTTCTCCTCCCTTTCCCTTGGCAAAACACTTCTAAGAAGCTCTAACCCCTCCCTGGAGGGTGATTTTCATGGGTTCATTAGCTCTGTTTGATTTTTTTTTTCCTCTCGTGTGGTGACCATCCTGTAAAGCAGAGTGGGAAGAAAGCAGCCTTCAAGCTGGTCTCCACTCCCCAGTTTGTTCACTCCAATGATCATACCAACCGGGAGGCTGAATTAAAGAAGAAGAGGGTAAGCCCTGTACCATCGGGGAGAGAGGGCTTGCCTGGACTGCCAGTTCCTCAGGAGTGGTGAATGGAAGGGCAAAGGCCAGAATGGTTAGGGTTGTAGAGGCTGTTGTGGAAGGTGGAAGGGAGGATGTTGCTTTGATATTTGACTAAGGGTCTCCATTTGCTCACCTCCCAGTCCATTGCTGTCTGGCTTGTGTTCCCACGGCTCCACCGAAATGGTCTTTGCCAGCCTCGCCAGTGCATTCTCTGATGGAGAGTTCTCATCTAATTTGATCTGAATTCTCTGCATTTGAGACCTGCTTTCCTTGAAATACTCTCACTTTGACTTTCTTGTCATCTTACTCTCCTAGATGTCCTCCTTCCTCTCTGCCAGTCTCTCCCTGCTCTAAATGGTGGGGCATCCCACGACTTTGTCCTTTTCTCCCTCTGTTCTTGTTTGCTCTGCCAGGAACACATTCTCTCTCAGCTTCCCATACCTTTCTTATATACTTATTGATTTCAGAGAGGAAGGGAGAGAGAGAGGGAGAGGGAGAGAGAGAGAGAGAGAGAGAGAGAGAGAGAGAGAGAGAGAGAGAAACATCAATGGTGAGAATCATTGATCAGCTGTCTCCTTCGGGCCCCACACCGAGGATCGAGCCCACAAACCAGGCAGGTGCCCTGACCGGGAATGAACTGTGACCTCCTGGTTCACAGGTTGATGGTCAACCACTGAGCCACACTGGCTGGGTCCCCTTGACCTTCTTTTATTGTTCTCTGCCCTGCTTTCCCTCCCTGCAGCACTCTGTTTTTTTTTTCTTTCTCTCAAACCCCTTATATCCTGCTGTCATATCTGCTTTCGCCCTGTATCCTTGCTCCTTCCACCTCTGCCATGCCACAGTTTGCTCCCACTGTCACCCGTTCCCTGTTCCTCTCCGTCTCCTGTCCCTCCCTTAGGCTGCAGACCTAGTCAGTTGCAGTCCTGGTGTGTGTTCCCTTGTTAGATTGACGAGATGAGGGAGAAGCAGCAGGCTGCCCGGGAGCAAGAGAGACACAGACGCAGGACCATGGAGAGCTACTGTCAGGATGTCCTGCGACGCCAGGAGGAGTTTGAGTCCAAGGTAAGAGAGCAGTTTTGCCCCTGGGTAGTACTGGGGCAGGTTTGCTCAAGAGCATCTTTTGCCGTTGCTCTGTGAAAGGGAGAGAAAGGATGTGAGATGGTTGGAAGGGAAGTAGGCAATCTGTGGAGAAAGGATGGGAAAACAGGACAGAGGGATGGAGGGTGAGAGGGAGGTAAAAAGCCATTTTGAGCCTTGTGTGTGACTGGACAACCCTGGTAGGTCCTTTCTCCCAAGCTGGAACCCAAAGACGGGGGTTGGAGTGGGGTTGGGAGGACTAAGGCAGGGGTGGAGAATTTCTGGCCCGCAGGCCATAAAAGTCCCGCGAAATTATTTGGTCTGGCCCTGCCAAGGCATTAGGGGTGAGTTACTTAAATATTGGACTAAATATAGCAGGCTAATTTTTACACACCCATATGCACACTCAGGCCTCTTTGGTGCTCGAATACACACATACACATAGGCACACATAGCTACCATGTGGGCCCGTGTGTTCTTCCACTTCCCAGCTCTGGTGGCTGGGACTCACATGGCTCCCCCAGCTTCACATAGTCTCCAATGCCCTGGCTCTTTCTCGCTCTATTTCCTCCCATGGACCATTCTCTTCTTTTTTCCTTTAGGAGGAAGCTTTGCAGGAATTAAATATGTTTCCTCAGCTGGATGATGAGGCCACAAGGAAGGCCTATTACAAGGAGTTCCGTAAGGTATGGGGACTCTTTTCTTTTTTTAAAAAAAATACATTTTTATTGATTTCAGAGAGGAAGGAAGAGGGAGAGAGAGAGAGAAAACATAAATGATGAGAGAGAATCATTGATTGGCTGCCTCCTGCACGCCCCCCACTGGGGATCGAGCCCAAAACCCAGGCATGTGCCCTTGACCGGAATCGAACCTGGGACCTTTCAGTCCACAGGCCGACGCTCTGTCCACTGAACCAAACCAACTGGGGCGGGACTCTTTTCTTAAGGCCCTTCAGGGAGGGTACCAATCCAGTCCCATCTCCTCTCCATTTCTGTTTTCCCTGACTGAGATGGAGGCCTTTTCATTCATGGGCCTCTGCGATTGCTACCCAGTCCTCTGCCTGCCTCCATCCCTCGCCTTCTGCCCTGCAGGTAGTGGAATACTCTGATGTGATTCTGGAAGTTCTGGATGCCAGGGACCCGTTGGGCTGCCGCTGCTTCCAGATGGAGGAGACTGTCCTGCGGGCACAGGGCAACAAGAAGCTGGTCCTGGTCTTGAACAAGATTGGTGGGTATTGAGAAGCATTGGGTGAGGCATGGCAGGGGGAAAGCCTTCTTGAAAGACCAGCTCTGACCAGATCCTGAGATGCAGCAACTTTAGTGGTATTCCTAACAGTTTGTGCAACGTAAGAATTCTTGTTACAGTCTTCCTAGCCAGGAATCTGAGAGGTGAAATCATTTGTCTAAAGCAGGGGTGGGGAACGTCCGTATAAGGTCCAACAAGTCATTTGGTCTGGCCCTGCCAAGGCATTAGGGGTGAGTTAATTAAATGTTTGACCAAATAAATCAGGCTCATTTTTAAGTTGATAATTTTGCATGGCCCGAGAATGATGTTATAAATATCCAAATGGCCCTTGGCAGAAAAAAGGCTCCCCACCCCTGGTCTAAAGACACAGTGCAGCAGAAGCTGGGAATGGTGTGCAAGCCCGGCTGCCTTTGATTCCTCCATTCTTGCTATTTTAAGCCTTATCTGTGACTGGCCATCCCTGGAGAGTGTCTTCTCCAAGCTGGAACCCAGAGACTAGGGCACAAAAGCACATGGACTCAGGAGTCACTCGGGTCTGGCTCTCATCTCACTTGTGCTCTTTTGGCTGGGATCTTGGACAAGTCCTATCACCTAAGAGCTTCCATTTCTCTAGCTTTAAAATGGGCTGTGATTGTCCCAACTCACAGTGTTGTTGTGAGAATTAATATTAAAGTGCTTGGTATATGTGTGGTCAGTACCTCACAAATGGTAGCCATTTTTGCCCATGTTATTCTTGACATTTGGTTCAAATTAGAATGATCCAGAGAGGGGATTGGAAACATAATCTTTGGGAGACCTGGGACCTACTAGCTAGTTTTCCCATTCTCCCTGAGGGAATAGAGATCCCCTCAGGGAGGGCCAACTGCTCCCCTAGAATACAGTGTCCTTTCTAACTCTAACTTAGGGACTGTACAGGGGCTGCCAGGGCCAGGGAGCTGTCTTTGTCAGGAGGTGGGCCTCGCTTCGGGTATGGGTAGATGCATCTTCGGAGTGAGCTGTCGAAGTTATGTTCTCCTTACCTGTTCTATCTGTTCCTGTTTCCCCCAGACCTGGTCCCCAAGGACGTTATAGAAAAGTGGCTGGATTACCTTCGGAATGAGCTGCCAACTGTGGCTTTCAAGGCCAGCACCCAGCATCAGGTCAAAAACCTGGTAAGCAGGGGCAAGGGGCATCTTTCAGGATAGCCTGGGGCCAGGGATGCCTTGGACTGGGTCTCCAACTCTTTGGTAATTGAATTAGGCCTTCAGCTTTGAGCTTTTTGCTTTACTGGATGACTTAATATTCATTTCATTTCTTCCTATATTATTGCTCTTTAGGAAGCATTTTCTCCAGATGTAAGGGTAATACATATTGGAAAATATAGAGAACTGTTCCATTTTAAAATACATGCCTCTGTTTTTCTCTTTAAAACATCACACTACTTTCTAATAGATCATTAACACAGAAATACATTTTCATCATAAAATATTAAAGTATACAGAAACATTGGTTGCTTCTAGGGAGAGAAACTGGTGCTGGGGATATTTTTTCAATTTTGCACCAGCATAAAATTTATTTAAAAAATAAAGTAAAAAAAAATAAAAACAATTGCATATAAAGCTTAACCCTACCAGACCGCTGTACCGATTTTTCGGTAATTTCCACACAAAGGTGGAATACTGGCGCTAGATGAAAGGTAGATGAAAGGTAGACCTATTTTCTACAATGTCTCCAAGTTCCATCTTATTCTAACCACTTGTTTGCATGTAACTAACATTTTTCTATATCATGTTGGTTTTTTCTCTTTAATGCTCAGGAGCCCAGGTATAGGGGACAGTTAGGTTCAGGGCCTCAGGTCTGGTAGGATTAATTACTCTTTCACCAATACCCTTAATTCCAGTCTCCTTTATCCACATATAACCAGAAGTAACCATCATTGTAAGTATGGAAGGATCCAGATGTTTTTCTGTACTTTAGATATACACAGGGAAGTGTATATAAAGAGAAAACTGTGTTTGTGGGTATCATATCTTATCCTGCGGCTTGCTTTTTTCCCCCTCTTGGATATCTTTTTACTGAGATCTATCTTCTGATGCTAGGTAAAATTAGTTTCCAATTTTTTATTGTTATAACCAGTACTTTAACACACACTCTTGCACACGTTTGTGTAGGTTAGGTATTGAGAGGTAGAGTGTCTGTGTCATAGGCTTTATGCATTTTATATTTTCCTAGACCCAGACAAATTGCACACCCCCCACCACCACCAAGGGGCTGCACCATTTATCTTCCTGCCAATGGGGCAATGAATGTGTGACAGGCCCTATTTCCCTCCACCTTTGCTAACATTTGATATCATTGAATGTTTTCATCTTTGCTAATCTGGAAGACACATGATACCTTATTTAAAAATGTTTTGACCTTTTTCATGGCAGAAATGTGGTAAGAATCCTTTGCTATTAGCTTTCTTTCGTTTGTATTCCACTTCAAGGATATATCTCATTAACCTGCTTCTTGTTGAGGGATATTTAGGTTAATTTCTGTTTTGCAATAGTGTGGTGGGTAAGTAAGGAAAGAGGAAGAGATGGAAGGGTATTCTGGGTAGAGTAAGTAGCATCAGGAGTAAAGAGATAGAGGCTGGCCCGGCCGGCGTGGCTCAGTTGGTTCAGCATCGACCCATGAGCCAAGGGGTCGAGGTTTGATTCCCAGTCAGAGTACATGCCCGGGTTGCAGGCTCAATCCCCAGTGAGGGGCATGCAGGAGGCAGCCGATCCATGATGTTTCTCTCTCATCTTTGTTTCTCTTTCTCTATCCCTCTCCTTTCCTCTCTCTCTAAAAATCAATAAAAGCATATTTAAGAAAAAGAGAGGCTGGAATGGCCTTGTTCTGGATAAGGAATCAAGGGAAGGTGGGTTGTGTGTGGGCCAGGCATTATCTTTCCTTTTGCAGGCTGGGATGGCGGGCATCCCGATTGTGCACACGAGGGCACCAAGGTCCTGAGAAGGGAAGCAGGATTTGCTAGGCACACACCTGTGAGAGGAAGAGTTGGAAGTCCAGCCTGGCCTGTCTCGAGGCTAGGATGCCATACTGTCCCTGCTGAGGCATATGTAGGCAGAGACAGGGACAAAGAAGACTGGAAGACCAGAACCGCGGGTCTCCAAGGGGGGCAGAGAAACGGCGGGTTTGGAGCCTGTGTGAGAAGTCTCCCACTTTGGCCTGAGGATCTCCTTGATCACAGGCAGGCCCTGAAAGTTGAAACTCGGGGCTCAAATCACATCTCCCTCCTGATGCCTCTGCTGTACTATTCCTCATTTTCTAGAACCGCTGCAGTGTGCCCGTGGAGCAGGCCTCCGAGTCACTGCTGAAGAGCAAAGCCTGCTTTGGAGCTGAAAACCTCATGAGGGTTCTGGGGAACTATTGCCGCCTCGGTGAAGTGCGCACCCATATCCGTGTGGGCGTTGTGGGTAAGGCGCCTGGGGAGAGGGCACAGGGCTCAGGCTCTCCTTTGGACAGGGGCTTCATTGCGGGAAAGGATCCTGGGAACTTGGTGTCACCTTTTTGGGGTGAAGGGTTTTGTGCTTTGTAATTTGGATTGGTGGACGTGGGAACACATACTCAATCATCACCATGCGCTGCATTTTATTTTATTTTTTAAATATGTTTTTATTGATTTTAGAGAGAGAGGAATGGAGAGGGATACAGAGATAGAAACATCCACGAGAGACATAGATTGACTGCTTCCTGCACGCCCCCTACTGGGGATCAAGCTGTAATGCAGGTATGTGCTCTGATTGGGAATCGAACCCAGGACCTCTTGGTCCATGGGTCGCGATGCTCAGTCACTGAGCCACGCAGCTAGTCCATGTGCTGCATTTTAGAACCATGGACCAAATGCATAGGGCTAGGCTTGGAGTTGGTGCCATCTTATCCTACCCGAGCTGCGGGAAGGAGTGGTGAACATCTCCCTTTCACAGATAAGAACACTGAGGCCCAGAGATGGGAAGGAGACTTGAGGGTCTCAGCTCTGTGTGAGACAAGGCAGAGCTGAGGCTCAAACCTGGACCTGTCTGGATCCCAGGGCACCGAGGGGAAGATGGTGGGTTTGGAACAGGGGAATTGAGAGAGGCAGAGGTGGAGCAGCAGGGAGAGGATGTGAAGCCAGCAGAGAAAGACATTGACAGAGAGAGCGGACATTGAGAAAAGGGTGTAGATACACATACCTGAATAGACAGAAAAGGAACTGGAAAGCCAAGGGGTGGAGTTGGTGGGCATTGGAGAGGAGAGACAGATTTAAATGATAGAGGCATGCGGAGAGATGGATATGTGATCAGAAAGAAATATCAAATGGGCATAGAGACAGACATGCACCGAGTCCTGCAGAGAGAAACAAGAGGACTAGAGGCACCCACGTATATGGAGAGGCAGACCCATATACATACCCAAAGAAAGAATGAGAGAAATGAACACAGGGCTGGAGAGACAGATTTAGAGAGACACATAGAAACAAGCAGGAACAAATATGGAGACACGGAGGAACACACACACACACACACACACACAAACACACAGAGGCCTATGCACACATACAGATCCATAAACAAGTGCAGTTGCACATGTGTGGAGACATGTATAGACCCAGAGAAGGCACCTTTAGAGGCAGACAGACCCAGGGGCAAATCACACGCAAACCAAGCCCTTCCTACACGCTCACCCTAACTCTGCTGCTTTCACACAAAGAGAGCCAAAGAGAGACACATGTGCCCAGATTCACTAGACTCTCAGACACAGGCACACACCCTGATTCCCACAGAGACAGACATACAGACATGTCTATAGTGAGATATATATGCATAGAGAGAGGGGTAGAAACGGGGGAAGGAGAGAGGTGGTTTTGGAGAAACAGACTGGGAGAGAGAAAAGGGGACACTGAAACATGTACAGAGGTGCCCACTGGGGGAAGGAATGTGATTACAAAGAGGCAGAATTGGTGGGGTGGGGTGAAAAAAAGAAAGAACAATGGCTAGAGTGAGAGACAGTGAGACAAACCGGCAAAGAAAGATGCTTAGATACAGAGAAAGACTGAGGAAAGTAAAAAATGGCAAAAGCAGTACTATTTAGAATGAGAACAATCAACATACACATATATGCATATGCGCGTGCACTCACGCGTGTGCACTCACACAGATAGAACACACACACATACACAGGCACATCTGTGAAAGAGCAGTATATACATAGTCCGGCCAGCATGACTCAGTGGTTGAGCGATAACCTATGAACCAGGAGGTCACAGTTGGATTCCTGCTCAGGGCATATGCCAGATTACAGGCTCGATCCCCATTGTGGGGTGTGCAGGAGGCAGTCAATGAGTGATTCTCATCATTGATGTTTCTATCTCCCTCTCCCTTCTTCTCTGAAATCAATAAAAACACATATTTTTAAAAAAGAGCAGTAGATATGTAACATCTAGGACACCGAAGGAAAATGGTGATAATGAGAGAGCCAGGGAGGGAGAAATACAAAGATATCCACAAACCCAGAGATGCTCATAGATGCCCAAACAGAAAAACACAAGTTGACAGCTGCTCAGAGAGAGGGACACCTGGAGATGAGTCCCCCATCCCGGTTAGTTACACACCAGGACAGACGGTTGTCTCTTTTATGGACACTTCCCGTTGTCCGTTTCTGTTGGATCATGTTGCAGAGTACTTGCATTGAGCACCTTTCCCAGGCTGGTTGTAGGTGGGAGGTGACTGTCACATCTAGAGAGAGGGACATATCTACTCAGTGTGCTTACAAATTGAGGGGCGGGGTAAAAAGGCCACGCAGGGAATTGGTCAGGGCCTGGGGGTGGGAAGGCAAAAGGCCAGGCTCTTGATTTTTGGCTTCCTCGTGGCTTGGTCACTGTCCCTACCTGGGCCTCCCCCATACAGGGTGGCCCAGATGTTTCTAAGGGCCCCTCCTGCCCTGAGCCGCCTGCTGCTCTTTTGTAGGCCTTCCTAATGTTGGGAAGAGCAGCCTGATCAACAGTCTGAAACGCAGCCGTGCTTGCAGTGTGGGAGCCGTTCCTGGGATCACCAAGTAAGCATCTGCCTGTTCTCCCACTTCCATTGACTCACCATTCCCTCTACTCTCACTCCTTCAGCCCCTGCTCCTTTCCTTATCTCGGAGCAGCCTCTGATTCTTCCCTGGGCATGGGAGTCTCATTAACAGCCTGCATTTACCTGGTACACCCTAGGTGTGGTCTAGGCTCCCAGCTGGGTGTCCCCTCTCACCTCCATTAGCTCCTTGAAGCCTCCTTGAACCCATGCAGGATTGGGCTATGAATAAGCAGCTTAGCTTCCTAGATGAAGCATCTGAGGCTCAGAGAGTCAAAAGCTGACCACGGTCCTGCAGCTCAGTCCCCAATGGCAGAGACTAGACTAGATCAGTCCCAGCTCTGTAGGACTCCGAACCCCTGGCCCTACATCTCTCCACCTTCATCTGTGCGCCATCTGCCCCCACCCCCTCACCCCTTCTCTCAGCTGTGTGTCTGGAGCCTAGAGGATGCCAGACACATCTGGCCTCATCAGTGTCCTGCATCTTCTCCTCTCCTCTCCTGCCCAGGTTCATGCAGGAGGTCCACCTGGACAAGTTCATCAGGCTGCTGGATGCCCCAGGCATTGTCCCAGGACCCAACTCGGAGGTGGGCACCATCCTGCGCAACTGCATCCACGTGCAGAAGCTGGCGGACCCCGTGACCCCGGTGGAGACCATCCTGCAACGCTGCAACCTGGAGGAGGTGCGCAGGGCTCTTGCTTATGCCCTAACCCCGTGGTTGGCAAACTGCAGCTCGCGAGCCACATGCGGCTCCTTGGCCCCTTGAGTGTGGCTCTTCCTAAGCCTCAGGAGTACCATAATTAAGTTAATAACAATGTACCTACCTATATAGTTTAAGAAATGTGACTCAAAAGAAATTTCAATCGTTGTACTGTTGATATTTGGCTCTGTTGACTAATGAGTTTGTCGACCACTGCCCTAACCCATTCCAAGGACCCTTCATTCTCTTTCCTGATTTCTCCTCTTCCTCTCGTCACCAGATTTCCAACTATTACGGCGTCTCTGGCTTCCAGACCACTGAGCACTTTCTGATGGCGGTGGCCCAGCGCTTGGGTAAAAAGAAGAAGGGAGGCATCTACAATCAGGAGGAGGCAGCCAAAGCAGTCCTGTCTGACTGGGTGAGGTGAGGAGAGGGTAGGGGTAGGGGTGAGGCTCCACAAAGGGGACTGGGCTGTAGGACCCTGGATCAGTGATTATCTAGCAACTCAACGTCTTATTCAGAAGCCACCGGCTGGGTTTGCTCATTGTCCCTCACTGTTTCTGACTCGGGAACTCATTCTTTCTGTGATTGGTCAATTGTTCTCTCAGTGACATCACCACCAATTTCCTCCATCCTCCCAATGTAGTGGGAAGATCAGCTTCTACACACTTCCACCCGCCACGCACACTCTGCCCACCCATCTTAGCGCTGAGATTGTTAAGGAGATGACCGAAGTCTTCGACATTGAGGACACCGAGCAGGCCAACGAAGACACCATGGAATGTAAGTGAGGGCGAGGGGACTGGCCTGACCGCACTTGGTCTTGCCCTAGTGGAGCCACAGGGACCTGACAACAAATTCCATGTTTGACCTCCCCCTTCCCTCGCCTTGCTCTGGCTTTGAGAAAATTAGTTAACCAGCTCCAAGTTTAATGCTTTTCACCCACAAGGTGGAGAGTTCTCATCTGAGCCATGGGGCTGGTTGTGACTCTTGGTAGATAGGAAGAAAATCAGCCAAGTACTATACACTATGAGGTGTTCAGGAAACGTAAGCTTCCTTTCCCTGTCTCTTGGGACCTGGTGTGGACGGAGACACTTCTCTCAAAAACCCCTCCTCTCATGCCCTAGGCTTTGCCTCAGCCACTGCATGTCCATTCCTAGATTTTCATTCTTACCTCCATTGATGGGTGAGGCATCTGAGACACGGAAGGGTGATATTTGCTGAATGACGCATAGTCAGTGGAGGCAGAGGTGGCATTCAAAGCAGCTCTCCTCTGCTGTTGTCGAAGACTCTCCCACCTCAGAGTGGTTAAAAGAAGTGACCATCCAGATTCAAATCCAAATTTTGTTTCTTGTTAGCTGTGTGATGTTGCACATGTTCCTTAACTTCTCCATGTCTCGACATCATTTGTAAGATGGACTATAGCCATGGTTGGCAAACTGCGGCCCGCGAGCCACATGCGGCTCTTTGGCCCCTTGAGTGTGGCTCGTCCACAAAATACCTATGTGCGGGGCATGCACGTACGAATGCAAATTTCGTGGCCCCATGCCCAGAAAGTCGGTATTTTTGTGGAGGAGCCGGTATTTTGTGGAAGAGCCACACTCAAGGGGCCAAAGAGCCGCATGTGGCTCGTGAGCCGCATGTGGCTCGTGAGCCGCGGTTTGCCGAGCCGCAGTTTGCCGACCACTGGACTATAGCATCCACCTGTTATTTAATACATAAAAGCACTGAGAACAGTGACTGGCATGTATATAGTGCTTTCTCTTTTTTATATGTTTTTATTGATTTCAGAGAGGATGGGAGAGGGAGAGAGAGAAACATCTATACTAATAAAAGGGTAATATGCTAATTAGACCAGACATCTTCCGGACAAAGCCACGGTGGCAGGGGCTGAGGCAGAGGCAGTTAGGGGCGATCAGGCTAGCAGGGGGGAGCAGATAGAGGGTGTCAGGCCAGCAGGGGGGAGCAGTTAGGGGCCGATCAGGCTGTTAGGGGGGAGCAGTTAGGAGGCGATCAGGCCGGTGGGGTGGGGAAGCAGTTGGGGGCGATCAGGCTGGTAGGCAGAGATGGTTAGGAGCAATCAGGTTGGCAGGCTGCGGTGGTTAGGGGCAATCAGGCCAGCAGGGGAGCAGTTAGGGGCATCAGACCGGCAGGCAGAGGTGGTTAGGGGTGATCAGGCAGGCAGGGGGGGAGCAGTTAGGGAGCAATCAGGCAGGCAGGGGAGGGCAGTTAGGGGGCGATCAGGCCAACAGGGGAGCAGTTAGGGGGCGATCAGGCAGGCAGGTAGGCAAGTGGTTAGGAGCCAGCGTCCCAGAATTCGAGAGGGATGTCTGACTACAGGTTTAGACCCGATGCCGCAGGGATCCCCTGAGGGGTCCTGGATTGGAGAGGGTGAGGGACCCTCAGTAGGCTGGGCTGAGGGACCCCCCCCCCCTCACGAATTTCATGCACTGGGCCGCTAGTCAATGATGATAGAGAATCATTGATTGGCTGCCTCCTGCACACCCCCTACTGGGGATGGAGCCCGCAACCTGGGCATCAAACTATGACCTCCTGATTCATAGGTTGATGCTCAACCACTGAGCCACACCGGCTGGGCTGTAGTACTTTTTGGTAACTATGAGCTGCTATGGTTTTCCAAAACTCTGGAAGGAAGTTTGTTGTCTTCAGATACTACCATCTGCAGCCCTGGCTTATGGCTCCTCCTCTCTTCTCTATCTTATCCTAGAAAGGTACCCAGTGCTCTCTGGATCAGTCTGTGGACACTCTGGGTAGTAGAGAAAGCCCTGGCTGGCCTGCCTTCTAGTTCTCTGTTTTTCTTGAGGACCAGTAGTCCTTCTCTGGGCCTTTTGGTGTCCTTGGATTCCACATCAGGATAAGAGAACTTGCCTGCTTTAGAGTTTATTTCCCAGGTGGCTTCGGGCAAGTCAGCCCCCTTTCTGAACGTTACTTTCCTCTTGTATCACGTGGGCAGTTGGGAGGAACTGCCGCTGTCATTCTTAGGATGATGCTTGGCCCTCGTTGCATGTGAGGGCAACAGGGGCTCCGTCGCTGAGATTGCACGGAGCAAAAGTTGGAGGTCTGGGAAATTGAGAAGAGGGGGAAGTTCCCAGTGAGAGTTTTCTACTAAAGAAGTTGGCCCTAGTGTTGGATCTTGAAGAGTGAATAGGGATTATAGGCTCAGGGAAGGGGATGGAAGGGAAGTTTAGAAGCAGGTATGAGGGTGGTGTGGGCCCAGGCAATGGGCACATTTGTGGTTTGCAGGGGAGGCCAGCTTCAGGCAGGCGAGTGCCCTCCTGCAAAACCCATACCTTTAATCTTTTGTCCTGGGGCCTCCCAGAAAGAATGAAAGAGCCTTCCCTCCCAACTCCCCTGGGCGGTGTCCACATATCTTATCCACTGAGGCCTGACCAGGAGGCTAGCAGCAGGAAGGAGCCAGGGCCCTGACAGTGCTGTTGCTTGTGTTAAAGGCTTGGCCAATGGAGAATCTGATCAGCTCTTGGGTGACATCGACTCGCTTCAAACGGAGATCAAATGGCTCCATTCTCCAATGATGAAAATAGTAGATGCCTTGGAAAATAAAACCACCGTGTATAAGGTACCTGTCCCTTTTCTTTATGGCAACCCTCTCCTCTACCCACGGCTCTGGGAAGTGGTCAGTCCCTTTTGCCTGCCCCCCATGACGTCTGCCTATAATGGTGGGGAGATGGGGGTTGCTCTTAAAAGTTGGTTATTTTTTTATGGTCAAGGGGTTTTGTTTTCCCCCATTTTGTTTATTTAAAATCTTTTTTCTGCCCTGGCTGATTTGCCTCAGTGGGTAGAGCATTGGCCTGCGGACTGAAGGGTCCCAGGTTCGATTCCAGTCAAGGGCACATGCCTGGGTTGCGGGCTCGATCCCCAGTGTGGGATGTGCAGGAGGCAGCCAATCCATGATTCTCTCTCATCATTGATGTTTCTGTCTGTTTCTCCCTCTCCCTTCCTCTCTGAAATCAATAAATAAAATATATTTTTAAAAATTCTTTTTTCTTATTATTTTTTTGACCAGGTAATGCATGTACATGGTATAAAATTTAAAAGGAACTAAAGGGTCTACAGTGAAAGTAAATCTCTCTCCTGCTTCTATCTCCCAGCCACTCTGTCTCCTCCTTGGAGGCAGTCACCATTAGCAGATTTGAGTGTCCTTTCAGAGCTATTTCAGCTTCATATACACACATATATACATACAAGCAGGTACAGAGATCTATTTTAATTCATATAGTAGTATGCTATTCATATTGCTTTCCACTTCGCTTATTTCACTTACAAATTCATCTTATAGATTGTCCCACATGATTACTTCATAGAGCTATCATTTATTTATTTTTAATCCTCACCTGAGGATATGTTTTTATTGATTTTTTTTAGAGAGAGGGAAGGAGGAAGCGAAGGAGGGAGGGAGAGAGAGAGGTGACAGAGAAACATCAATCAGTTGCCTCCCATATGCACCATGACCTATCGGGGATTGAACCCTCAACCTAGGTATGCGCCTTGACGGGAATGGAAGCTGCCACCTTTAGTTGTACGGGACTATACTCCAACCAACTGAACCATACCGGCCAGGGCCAAGAGCTGTCCTTTTTTCTTTTTAATATATTTTATTGATTTTTTACAGAGAGGAAGGGAGAGAGATAGAGAGTTAGAAACATCGATGAGAGAGAAACATTGATCAGCTGCCTCCTGCACATCTCCTACTGGGGATGTGCCCGCAACCAAGGTACATGCCCTTGACCGGAATCGAACCTGGGACCTTTCAGTCCGCAGGCCGACGCTCTATCCACTGAGCCAAACCGGTTTCGGCTGTCCTTTTTTTTATGATGGCTACATAATATCTGGAAGGGTTTCTTAAGCAACATGGTCAGGTTTGTATATTAGAACATTACTCTGGCAGCTGGGGTAAAAATCAGATTAGAAAGCAAGGGGCCAGGGTGGAGGCAGGGAGTCCAGGAAGGAAGCTGTCACCTGGACTCTTAAGAGATGGGGAGGCCTGCACTGGGGCAGTGGCAGGATTTCACACCATTCCCATCCTCACTTAGGTTCAAAGGTTCCCCTGGTGCTTACAGGAAAATTAGTATCAAGTTGTGTGTTTAAGGCCATCCCCTGATAATGTTTCCCACTGAGCCCATAAGCCCCATAACATACCATTTTCCCTTGGGGACCTATAGTAGTTCCCCATTCTTTACTATAACCTCCAGACTCAGGCTCAGGGCCCTGAGCAGGCCACTCTATTGCCTGACTCTGGGAGATGCCATTTGGGTGTGCTATACTGTGAATGGTGCCCCCCGCCCCCACAACCCCAGAGTTGCACAGTGTGCCCGATAGCCTGGCCTTTTCCCCGTTGTAGTGTAGCAGGTAGTCATACATGCCCTTGTTTTTCATAGCATTGTTGTAAGCATTAAATGGGTTAATAGGTATGTGTACATGTACATATATCTGTTGTACACATACACATAATATGTGTGCTTAGAATGGTGCCTGCCTGACACATAGTGAGCTTTCTGTCATTAGCTTTTACTACCCACATGTATCTTCTTTTTTTAAAAAAAAATATATTTTATTGATTTTTTACAGAGAGGAAGGGAGAGGGAGAGGGATAGTTAGAAACATTGATGAGAGAGAAACATCGATTCAGCTGCCTCTGGCACGCCCCCTACTGGGGATGTGCCCGCAACCCAGGTACATGCCCTTGATCAGAATTGAACCTGGGACCCTTCAGTCCGCAGGCCAACGCTCTATCCGCTGAGCCAAACCAGCTAGGGCCACATGTATCTTCTTTTATTTTATTATTGAGTAATTCTTTATTGTTGAAACTATTATATATGTCCCCCTTTTCACCCACTGACCTCCTCCAGCCCCCTCCCCCCACATGTATCTTCAATTCTAGACAACAGACACCCTTTTGGGTGCCCAGTTATACTCTGTGCTTTTCCAGTTCAGTCTGGAATGACTCCTATCAGAAGTATGTTGACCACCACCATTCCCTCAACCTCTGTCATTTACACTGTGTCTCTCTGGTGGGCACTTAACACACTCTGTCTTGCATGGTTGGTTGTAACCTTTTTAGTCTGATTGTTTCCCAAAGATGGAACTGCATCTGTCTCATTTCTCCAGCATGTCCCTACACAGAGCTGGGCACAAAATAGGTATCAGAAAATATTTGTTACATTGACTAAGACCTTGAAGGGTCACTTGAGCAAAGAATCACTGTAACACAATTGTCACTGATCAAGTACCTCTACTTTTTCATTTTCTCCCTGTGAAAGCCATGCAAGCTACTCATTATCCACCCCCGTTTGACAGATGATCAGGCTGTGGCTGAGAGGTTAACTAAGAACCTGCTAGTCAGTGGTGGAGTGGCTCCAGGCTCCTTGTTCTTACCCTGCCTCTTCTGCAGAAGTCTTTGCAGGTAACTTTGGGGGTCCAGAACTCACTGCTGTCCTCTGTCTCACCAGAATGGAGAGTTCACTGAGTATTGCATGAATTCGAATGGTCATCAGAAGGAGTGGGCTAAGCGCAATGCGGACTCCTATCCCAGGAACATCTGCCCAGTGGACCGCCGCCCAATGGTACAGAAGATCATGGAGACAGACCCCCTGCAGCAGGGCCAGGCTCTGGCATCTGCTTTGAAGAATAAGAAGAAGATGCAGAAGCGTACAGGTGGGGAAACCTGACCATCCCCCTGTGTCTTAAAAGGGCTCACCTGGGGCCTTGGTTAGGGGCTTCTAAGTGAGCACCTCCATGTATCCAGCCCTAGGCAAGGGTTAGGGGCAGGGATGGGTTAGGAGGCTCACCTATAGGCACACTGGTTCTCAAACTCTAGCTCAGGGGTCCTCAAACTACGGCCCGCGGGCCACATGCAAATACAAATACTGTATTTGTTCCCGTTTTGTTTTTTTACTTCAAAATAAGATATGTGCAGTGTGCATAGGAATTTGTTCATAGTTTTTTTTTAAACTATAGTCCGGCCCTCCAATGGTCTGAGGGACAGTGAACTGGTCCCCTGTTTAAAAAGTTTGAGGACCCCTGCTCTAGCTCATATTAGAACTGCCAGGGGGCTTGTTAAAACACATTTATTTTATTTTATTTTTTTATTGACTTTTTACAGAGAGGAAGGGAGAGGGAATAGAGAGTTAGAAACATCGATGAGAGAGAAACATCGATCAGCTGCCTCCTGCACACCCCCCACTGGGGATGTACCCACAACCAAGGTACATGCCCTTGGCCAGAATCGAACCCGGGACCCTCCAGTCCGCAGGCCGACGCTCTATCCACTGAGAAAAACTGGCTAGGGCAAAACACATATTTCTGGGGACCTGTCTCCAAAGTTTCTAATTGAATAGGTTGGCCATGGGGACTGAGAATTTGTGTTTCTAACTGCTTCCAAAATGCTTTTAGTACTTGTCTGGGGACCACACTTGGAGAACACTGGCCTAGTTTGTGTATCAAATAACCACCATTTATTTATCAGCTGCTTTTTATGTATTAGGAAGCTTATAGGCTATATATAATGGTTACTTTATCAATAGGCATTGTACTCAAAATCCAAAAGGCATAAAAGAATATACAATAAAACGTCTTACCAATCCCCTAGTCAGCCAGGCCTCCTCCCAGCGGCAACCAATTAATTTCTTTTAAAAAAATGTTTTATAGATTTTAGAGAGAGAGGAAAGGAGAGGGAGAAAGAGAGATAGAAACATCGATGATATAGAAACATCAAAGAGAGAGACATTGATTGGCTGCCTCCTGCATGCCCCCTATTGGGGATCAAGCCCATAACCCAGGCCTGTGCTCTGACTGGGAATTGAACTGGTGACCTCTTGGTGCATGGGTCTACGCTCAACCCCTGAGCCACACCAGCCGGGCCCAGTTAATTCCTTGTATCTCGTTCCTGTGATAGGTACACAGGCAAATATCTATAAATTCTTTATTCTCTTTTTCTATACAGATACTTCATTTTCCATTTAATACATATTAGAGATTATTTCAATGTCAATTCACAAAAGAACTTCTTCATTTTAGTGGTGGTCTGTTGTGTGGCTGGCCCATTTTTGTCTTCATGCTATGCCAACCTTCACTAACCCATTGTAAAAGTCTTACCCACATTTGGTAAGTGAGGAAACTGAGCCCCAGAGACATTAAGTGACACACTCAAGGCAAGACAACTAGTATTTAATGGAGCCAAAATGAAAACCTAGGATTCATTGACCCTATAAGCTCTGTTCTTTGAACTAGACTGTGTTCCTAACCATTCACTCTTGGCCTGGTTCCACACCGAGGCCTGGGAATCCAGAGATGGATTGCCCTGGAACTCCTGGTCTTATTGGGGAGTGAGGAGGAAACAGGAAAACAGACATTGGCAACACAGAGTGATCACTATGAAGGCACCCAGTCTGGAGGTGGTAGTGGGGTAAGGGTGGTCAGAGAAGGCTTTCCAGAGAACAATAGGGTGTGACGAGGATGGGAGGTGAGAATTCAGGCTCAGTGTACCTAGTGTCCTTTTGCTGTCCCTTTGCTGTGAGAACTTTGAGGGTGATGACAGAGTGCTAATAAGTTCAACACAGTAAAAGGAAATTGATATTTTGATGGAAGGAATGAAAATTCTTGGAGCCCAGTGAGCCTGCCATTCTAAGATGGAAGATGTGTTGGAGTGATCATTTCGCACGTAGACAAACGGGTCTGCCTCAGAGGTTGAGCAATGGCTGCTCGCAGCCCACCAGGTGTTTTGTGTAGTGTTAGGGGGTAAGTGAGCCAGTTTTGGAGTTTGGTGCAGACCAAGGTCAATGTAGGCTAGCTCCTGCAGGCCTCCTGTTGGCAAGCCAGCCACCAAATGACTGCCTGTATTTCTCCGTCTGCAGATAAACTCGCCAGTAAGCTGTCCGATTCCATGATGTCTGCCCTCGACCTCTCTGGCAACACTGATGACAGTGCTGGTGACTGATCGGCTGATCTCACCCCCTCCACTCTCCAAGTACCGGTTCCAGTGGGATGGGGGATACAGATGAAATAAAATGGTTTGCTTCTCCCTGAAGCACACACACATGAAAATAATCCCTCCACCATACCTCCCCCACATTGTTCCCTCCATTCTCCAGGGAAGAAAAAGGGTCCCAAGTGGCTGGAACTGACCAGCCCAATGCCCTTTATTTAACCCCCATCATATTTGACAAGAGATATAAATTATCATGACATCTGATGCTAACAGTTTATCCCCCACCCTATAGGTTGGGCTGCTTGAGGATAGAGGGGGACCAACCCCTCACCAAATTCTCTTGGACAGCTAAGCATGCAGCTAGAGGCTAGGCTGCTGGTAGACCTGGTGGTCCCTGGAGGGTGATGATTTCTTTGCCAGTCCACAACAGAGCTCGACTGCAAGACATTTCCCACATGGGCTGCAGGCCACGCATCTTTCACCCAAATACACAGATCCCCACCTGGGTTGCACTGGAAGTAGAGTGAACAGCGACGAGCCTTGTGTGTCTGGAAGGCTCTGGGGATAGGACAGGAAGGAGACAACACACAAGCCTGGCTGGTGCTGAAGTGTAAGTGCCACCTTGTTCACACACAGGGAAAACAAGGCACCAGTTGGGAGGGCAGTTAGGTGTGTTAGGGGCAAACCTCACCGTAGGGCATTTTGGGGCAGACTGAGTTGGAGGAATCCTTTGGACTGAAGCATTCTGGGTAGGCCCCGCCCTTGTATGACCATGGCTCACCCAGCACCGGCATTTGAATTCTGTAATTCCAAAGGGTTCTAGTACCATTTATTCACAGGCTGCATCCTCAAGACAGGTGTCAATTGGGGGTGCACCATCCACCTCCTTTTCTGGTGTCCAAAGTCATTATATCCCATTAAAATATAATAAACCACCTCCTTTGGGGACAGACAAGGACAGAGAAGCCCAGTTAGTGTCAGGGGCCCTCGCAAAGGGACTGGGTGGATGATGGCAGCAGAAACACCATCTTTACTCCATATGTTGGGTTAAGCACATGACTTCAGTTCCTAGCCATCTACCTGAGACTGGACACATTTGAAGGGAGTGGGCATTAGATTGCTTCAGTCTTTGCTCCCCCCCCCCACCTCAAACTTCCATACCATCTCTGGACCCAGAGCCATATCTTAGCCTTGCCTCTCATGTTGTCACCCCAAAATTTACCTATTCAAATCCTAGTAACCATAGGAAGGCTTGGCGAGCCCTTGGCTGCAGGCTGATTAACAGGGAAGCGCGGGCCGCTCCCAGTCCTGGAGCAGCCAGGGCAGAGAATTATGTACTGCTTGAGCACAAACCCCCAAACCCTAGAAACCTGTTCACCTCCATCAGCCTTCAATACCACTCTGCCAGGAAGGGATTAGTCTCCCCGTGTAGGAAAAATAAACAGCCTCATGTAGTTGTCAGGACACCCATGACATTAAGTGGTAGTGCCCATTGGAACCCAGGTGTGATAGCCTGCAGCAGGCCATTTCTCTGCATTGTTCTGTCTCCTCAGCATCCATTAAGCACCTGCTGTGTGCCAGCCTCTGATATCAACCCTTTAAATATATTCTATCTTTTTTGGTTTTAAAAAAATAGGGCCCTTCTATCATTTCACTGAGTCTTGGATGAGGTACAGCTTATTTCACACTGTCATATTATCAAACTCTCCTGGTAGATGTATGTTACAATGAAAAATTGGGGTGTCAGGACAGCTAAGGCCATTTTACAACTATATGGCATTTCATAATTTAGCATTTAAAATATTTTCTAGTACTCCTAGCACATTGTTTGCGGGTAGGTGGCGCGGGCCATTTTTGCTAATTTTTTGTGCAAATGGCAACGTTCAGTAAAATTACGATAACTTTAGTTTTACATATTTTTTTTCAATGAAACTTTTTGTGATTTACTATAAAATGTATACTGAATTATTTTTCTTAAATTTTAAACAGACAAATACTGGAAAACTCACTGGAAATTGAAATAAAAGTAATAAAATATGTAAAAATTCCGATTTATACCAGTCAACGTAAAACGTATAAATACGTTTCCCGCATACAGTGTGCTAGGAGATGCTGGTTACTAAGTACTAGAAATAGGCGGTATCTTGTCTAAGAAACAGCATGGGAACAGAAACTGGCCCAAATCAGACAGAAGAACTATAGTCATTGTCGAGGTAAGAATATGGGACTCCTGATTCTCTACAGCATATCAAGTTTTTAAAAAAACCATTTCTTGAGCCCCCCCCTTACCTTTAGAATATATATATAATTTACATTCAATAAGTGAATTGCCAGTATAAAAATAGTCACGGGGATGTAAAGTACAGCACAGGGAATAGAGTCAATAATATTGTGATAACTTATGTATGGTGTCAGATGGGTATGAGGCTTATAAGGGTGATCACTTCATAAGTTATATAAATGTCTAATCATGATGTTATACACCTGAAACTAATCTAGTATTGTATGTCAACTGTAATAGAAAAATAAAATTTAAAAATATTTAGGTTTATAACTTCTGTGAGTTTGAACAATGTACACAGTAGTGAACTAGCATCACAATTGAGATACGCAATAGTTAACATCACCCCCAAAATTTTCAGGCCCCTTTGTAGTCAACCCCGACTCTCACCCTCAGATCCTGGGAATCACTGATTGTTTTCTGTCCATGAATGTCACGTAAAAAGAATCATACGGCGTGTAGGCTGATTTTATGTATAGGTTTTACATTTTAAAAATTTTTACATAGAATAAAATTCGCTCTGGTGTACAGGTCTATAGGTTTTGACAAATGCATATAATTATGGAACCAACACAAGGTATAGAACAGTTCCCTTACCCTCTGATCACCGCCAAATTCATTCCTGCTGCTTTATAGTAAAAGCCTCCCTACCCCTAACTCCTGGCAGCCCTGATTTGTTCTTTGTCTTTACAGTTTTATCTTGTGGAGAATGTCATGTAAGTGGAATTTTACAGTCTATAGCCTTCTGATACTGGCTTTTTTCACTAAGCATAATACATTTGAGGTTCATCCACATTTCTGAGTTGTACTTTATTGTATGGATGTACCACTGTGTATATCCATTTCTCAGTGGAAGTCACATTGGATTGCTTCCAGTTTTGAATGATTACAAATAAAGCTGCTACAAACATCTGCATGAGAATCTTTTGTGTTTTCATTTCTCTAGAGTAAATACATGCAGTTGGATTGCTGGGTTATATGGTAAGTATATGTTTAACATTCTCAGAAACTGCTAACCTGTTTCTTAGAGGAGCTCTACCATTTGGCATTCCCATCAGTATGTGAACATTCCACTTGCTCCCCATCTTTTGCAGCTCTTGGCATCGTCAGGTTTTTGACATGAGCTATTCTTAGTAGGATGCAATGTTATCTCATTGTGTGTTTTAAAATTCTCACCCAAGGATATTTTTTAAAAAATATATTTTTATTGATTTCAGGAAAGGAGAGAGAGATAGGAACATCAATGATGAGAAAGAATCACTGTTAGGCTGTCTCCTGCACGCCCCACACTGGGGATCGAGCCTGCAACCCTGGCATGTACCCTGACCGGAAATCAAACCGTGACCTCCTGGTTCATAGGTTGGTGCTCAACAACAGCGCCATGCTGACCAGGCACCCAAGGATATTTTTTTCCATTGATTTTTAGACAGAGTGGAAGGGATTGGGGGGGGGTAGAGAGCGAGAGAGAGAGAGAGAGAGAGAGAGAGAAAGAAACATCAACGTGAGAGAGACACATCAATTGGTTGCCTTCCGCTCACGTCCAGACCAGGGTTGGAGATGGAATCAATGAGCCAGGGCTCATTGTTTTGATTTGCATTTCCCTTCTGACTAACGATTTGAGCATATTTTCATGTGCTTATTTGTCACCTGTATATCTTCTTTGAGTAATGTCTTCTTAAAAAAACCTTTATTGAGATTATTACAGATGTCCCTCTTTTTTCCCCCCATTGTCCCCCTTTACCCAGTTCCCGCCCCACCCCAGGCCTTCACCACCCTATTGTCTGTATCCATAGGTAATGCATATATGCGTATAAGATCTTTGTTTAATCTCTTCCTGGCCCCCCATCCCCCTTCCCTCTGAGACTCATCAGTCAGTTTATTCTGTTCATTAGATTTCTTATTCGTTTAACTCAATTGTTGATAAGTATGTATTTGTTGCCCTTTTGTTTATATTTTTTTCTTCTTCCTCTTAACGAATACCCTTCAACATTTCATATAATACTGGTTTGGTATTATATTAAAGCTTCTTTAGCTTGTTCTTATCTGTGAAGCTCTTTATCTGACCTTTAATTCTAAATGACAGCTTTGCTGGATAAAGTAATCTTGGTTGTAGGTTCTTGCTATTCATCACTTTGAATATTTCTTGCCACTCCCTTCTGGCCTGCAAAGTTTCTGTTGAGAAATCAGCTGACATTCCTATGGGTACTCCCTTGAAGGTAAAACTGACTTTCTTTCTCTTGCTGCTTTTAAGATTCTCTCTTTGTCTTTTGCTCTTGGCATTTAAATTATGATGTGTCTTGGTGTGGTCCTTTTTGGATTCCTTTTGTTTGGGGTTCTCTGCGCTTCCTGGACTTGTAAGTCTATTTCTTTCACCAGGTAGGGGAAGTTTTCTGTCATTATTTCTTCAAATAGGTTTTCAATATCTTGCTCTATCTCTTCTGGCACCCCCATAATGCGAATGTTGGTGCGCTTGAAGTTGTTCCAGAGGCCCCTTACATTATCTTGATTTTTTTTATTGTTTTTTCTTTTTGCTCTTCTGGGTGTTTTTTGCTTCCTCATAGTTCAAATCATTGATTTCTCAGAATCCTCTACTCTACTTTGAATCCCTGTATATTATTCTTTATTTCAGTCAGTGTATGCTTAATTTCTGACCGGTCCTTTTCCATCTTTTTGGAGGTTTCTAGAAGATTCTTGAGTAACCTTATAACTGTGGTTTTGAACTCTATATCCAGTAGTTTGCTTTCTTCCATTTCTTTCATTTGTGACCTGTTTCTTTGTCTCCACATTTTGGCTGCTTCCCTGTGTTTGTTTCTATGTATTGGGTGGAGCTGCTAT